TTGGAGGGACAGGGGAGAGCTGATTTAAAAAAAAGTGTTGTATATCTCTCAAGGCGGGCAGACCCAGCTAAATAACACGGCTGCGGGGGTCACCAGAAGTTCGCGTTCGCCTAGTTAAGACAAAAAGCTCAATTATTCTGTATTGCTATTAAAGTAACGTTAAAGTCGGAATTTAACAACAGGGTAGGCTAAAGTTTGATATTCACACCCACTCCAATTAAACCAGGTCACAAGTACGCCTACTGAACCATCCCCATCATTAAGTCAATATGAAATGTTATTTCCATACTTTGATGCTTTCTATACAACTCGACCCGAAGCATATGCATGAAAAGACAAAAGTAAAACTTATGAAAAGCCAGGATAACGGGATGAATCACCACCAGGTCGAATATAAATACATAATAAAAAAACGATGTTAAACCCAGGGTCGGAGAGAAAGGGAGATCCCGGCCGTCTTTGTATCCCCGCAGCGCGGGATGGGAGTGTGTGTACGCTCGGGGAGACGCCTCCACTTGGGTCGGGCACCACGATGGGAAACGACAGACCTTGGGTTACATGCGGAATCATGGCTGTGAAATAGTAAGGGACAAATGTTAACTTAAAACTTTTGGCCATTTCTTTGTGCGCCGGGTCGGAGAGAGCGTTGCCCCTCCCTCCAGGTGGTGCGAACAAAGACGCCTATGAGACATTTGTGACGTCTGTGTTTTGGGTTCGTGGGGAAGGCCAGACAGGAGATAATGTTGCGCCCAGACAGAGAGACGACCTCGAGGCAATTTGTAACATCTGATTGTTTGCTCGTGGGTTTTATGGAGGGAGTGTGACAACGAATATACCGTCAGTGATGCACACAAGGACACACGGACGTACGGACACACACATGGACACACCTGCCTACGGACAGATCCTGACACAAAAAAAATTCGAAAGAAGTCCCGCCTTGTGGGCGGGATCCAGGGGGATTTTTCGGCATAAAGTAAAGGATCCTGAGCATTGGAAATCAGTGCGACGGGAGGGTCGACTCAGGAACGAGTGCGACCAGAGTGGGTCCACTCAGGAGTGCGACCAGTGGGTCCACTCAGGAGTGCGACCAGAGAGTCGACTCAGGAGCGAGGGCGACCAGCGGGTCGACCCAGGAGCGAGCTCGACCGGGAGGGTCGACTCCGGAGCGAGCTGCGACCAGCGGGTCGGCTCGACTCATCTTCAGCTCGTCAACCTCTGCCGAATCGGGGGTCTCTGCTGCCACCGGAGTGGTGAGCATCGCGGATCGGCGACAACCCAGAGCTGCACGCTACGAGCGAGTTGTGGGCGCCACCTACCGACCGGGTTCCGAACTGCGACAGCGTATCAACAGCCATCCGAACCAATTCGCCACGGGATCGACTGATACGTATGACGCGCACCGCCCCCTCACCACACGACCACCAGGCGTCTGTTTGACCTAAAGAATCGACTCCGAACACTGACTATTCAAGACAACTCTTACCACTCAAAAACACTCGAACCCATAAGCCATCCGTGGCTGGAAAGCATCACAACGAGACCGAGTGATGGCCCTCCGTCTCTTATAAGAGTATTCTTAATTTTTACCTTTAATATTTAGTGGGCTGTACTCTTAATCGCATAAATTCCCAACAGATCCATCAATACGAACTGATTCTTGGCACCTCCTTCCGCCGAGCCACGCTCACGTGGGGAGTGGTGGCCCACCGGACCCTTATCAGGTGATCTGGTCCCCAATTAGTAAACTTGGTATAAGATAACGAGCTTTGGAAAAGGAGCACCGTCGCAGGCCCTTACTCCGAGCCGTTCTGTTGTCAGATAACCTGCCGATGTATCTGTTGAGATTGGTGCCTTTAAGAATAATAACTGTTTTTGATTGTATTTTTTTTATCGCCGTATAATCTTTCAAGTATCTTTCAGTCATAATCGCCGCACGTACTCGCATCCTCTACAGAATATTCAACTGTTCCGTGACCCAAGGTGTTAACAACGTGATAAGGGTTGCGTATGATCAATAAGGAGTGCGGTACTGCGTGAACAATATTGAGTATAATCATTCATTAACGTTAAGGTTTTCTTAGCATAGTATTTGCAGGTTTTAACGACTCTCTCTCTCACTAACAACCATCGCGTTATGCGGGATCCATGTGCCGTTGTCAAAGTGAAATCAGACAATCGTTGATGATACTGTATTGATGCCGTATTGACGTTCCGGGATTGAGAGTTCGCATACTATATCATAGTTAAGGTTGAATTAGTAATAAATTGATCAATACAGAAGTGGTTGTGTGATTGTTTCCTGAAATCTATGCATAAGATCTGCTTCTGCGTTGAGATTTGAACTTGGTGACCTTAATAAACACACTAATACATACTCAGTAAATGTTAAAGCGATAACGGGGTGAACCGGGGACCTAAAAATATAACCACGAATAAAACTCTGGGAATGTTAAAGCGAGAATGAGACGAACCTAGACAACGATGCCGAGTTAGTCTAAGTTAATCTTGCATACTTACACCACACCTGCATAACTGCATACGATTAATTGCCTTCTTCCGATCGATAACCCACCCTCGTCACCGAGGCGGGGTCTGGTTATCACAACGACTTGTATTATCATAATTACACCCACTCGCATAATTAATCCGATTACCTCTCGAATTGGCATAATTAAAATGTGCGTAATTACATAAATTAACATATTTCCGGATAATTACACATTTGGCCAGATTTCATTTAATAATTATTATTTTCACTGAATATTCATAACACACAGGTACAACATAATAATTTCACCCACGCACGCATACAACATAACAAATTTTCTTAACCCAACATATACAACAGGTAGGGTACGGGTATCGGGTACCCGGTTGCGACCTCTGGGATGGTGGGGGGGGCACGGGTAAGTGTTGGCCACAGAGGCACTCCCACCCAGGCTGGGGAGCGAGAGGGTGAGCGATGGATCGGACGGACGGATGGACGAGCGTGCAAAGAATCGAGCGGGAGAGTAAACTAATGGACAATTTAGTGGCTGGTTAAGTGAGCGAGTAGGCAGGGGAGTGAGCCAATGGCAAAGTGAGCAAAAAAAATTAGCAAGCAAGAGAGCGAGCGGTAGGCAAGTAAGCGTTCAGTCTCCGATTAGCACGGTTGGCTAGGTACAGCGTGAAAGAAGTTCAACGTACATACTGCACATAGACTAACACTACACATAGACTCAACACTGCCCATAGACTAATACTACACAGACTAACACTACCCATAGACTAACACTACACATAGACTCAACACTGCCCATAGACTAATACTACACAGACTAATACTACACATAGACTAATACTGCACATAGACTAATACTGCACATAGACTCAACACTACACATAGACTCAACACTACACATAGACTAACACTACACATAGACTAACACTACACATAGACTAACACTACACATAGACTAACACTACACATAGACTAACACTACACATAGACTAACACTACACATAGACTAATACTACACATTGACTAATACTACACAGACTAATACTGCACATAGACTCAACACTACACATAGACTAACACTACACATAGACTAACACTACACATAGACTAATACTACACATAGACTAATACTACACATAGACTAACACTACACATAGACTAACACTACCCATACTAAACACTGCCCATAGTATCAACACTGTACCTCCGAGTAGCACGGTTGGCTAGGTACGGCGTGAAAGAAGTTCAACGTACATACTGCACATAGACTAATACTGCCCATAGTCTCAACACTGCCCATAGACTAATACTACACAGACTAACACTACCCATAGACTAACACTACACATAGACTCAACACTACACATAGACTAATACTACACATAGACTAATACTGCACATAGACTCAACACTACACATAGACTCAACACTACACATAGACTAACACTACACATAGACTAACACTACACATAGACTAACACTACACATAGACTAACACTACACATAGACTAACACTACACATAGACTAACACTACACATAGACTAATACTACACATAGACTAATACTACACAGACTAATACTGCACATAGACTCAACACTACACATAGACTAACACTACACATATACTAACACTACACATAGACTAATACTACACATAGACTAATACTACACATAGACTAACACTACACATAGACTAACACTACCCATACTAAACACTGCCCATAGTATCAACACTGTACCTCCGAGTAGCACGGTTGGCTAGGTACGGCGTGAAAGAAGTTCAACGTACATACTGCACATAGACTAATACTGCCCATAGTCTCAACACTGCCCATAGACTAATACTACACAGACTAACACTACCCATAGACTAACACTACACATAGACTCAACACTGCCCATAGACTAATACTACACATAGACTAATACTACACATAGACTAATACTGCACATAGACTCAACACTACACATAGACTCAACACTACACATAGACTAACACTACACATAGACTAACACTACACATAGACTAACACTACACATAGACTAACACTACACATAGACTAACACTACACATAGACTAACACTACACATAGACTAATACTACACATAGACTAATACTACACAGACTAATACTGCACATAGACTCAACACTACACATAGACTAACACTACACATAGACTAACACTACACATAGACTAATACTACACATAGACTAATACTACACATAGACTAACACTACACATAGACTAACACTACCCATACTAAACACTGCCCATAGTATCAACACTGTACCTCCGAGTAGCACGGTTGGCTAGGTACGGCGTGAAAGAAGTTCAACGTACATACATACGAGAGCGTCAGGCGAGCGAGCAAATGAACGAGCAAATGAGCGAGCATCACGGGGGCAGGCGGGAGGGCGATCGGTGGGGCGAGCCTGTCCCGTCAACCCCCCCACATCCCCCCCCACTACCCCCTCCCCCCCCACTCCCCACCCACCTTGCCCTTGCGGAAGAGCGCCTTGACGCTGTCGGGCTGCAGGGCGAGCGCCGCCTCGCACGACCTCAGCGCCGCGTCGCGCTGGTCCAGGCGCAGCTGCGCGGCCGCCACGTTGTTGAGGCACTTGAGCTTGACGTCGAGCAGCGGGGAGCGGTCCTCGTCTTCGCTACTCGCCACTGCCGCATCAACGAGCGGTGGGGCGACGGCGGCGGCGAAGGGATTGTGGGTAGAGAAACGAGCGGCCGTTACGCGTCGGTCACGTTTGCGTGCACGGCCACCGAGCGGTGCAATTTAGGTATGCTCAACGCTACGTTGAAGATCGATAATGGATGGATCATGCTGATGATGATGGTTATAGAATGGATGATGATGGTCATTAAAATATGGATGATGATGATGATGGTTAGAGGATGGATGATGATTATGACGATGGATCGACGGATGATGATCATGGATGAATGACGGAATAATAAACGGATGAAGCCAACGACAATGCCGATGGATGATGATGATTATTGACGACGGAAAAACCGGCGATGAAATCGACGCTCTTTATCAAGATCCCATTTTTCTTGGTTCGTTCTTTACCGAAATAACTAAGAATCTGAATCCCTGCAGTCACGAAAGCTTTAAATCAAAATTTAGGATCCCATTTGTTTACCCAAGAAAGCCTCATCGAGTATCACAACTTTTTCAGCAAGGCCCTGCCAAGTTTTCACAGTAGGCGACGGTGAGGGGGGCGGGTGGGTGGGAGAACGGCGATCGCTCTTAGCATATCCCAACCAAATAATAACCGATGACGGATGACGACGCTAGCGTACGGTGACAAGAGTGTGGCGGCTGCGGTGCTTCACCGGAGCTCTCCGTGTCGGCGATCTTGATGGCGCGGTCGTACGAGGCGATGGCGTGCGTGTAGTCGCCGCGCTGGAAGTAGTGGTTGCCGCGCTCGCGCTTGCGGTGAGCGAGGGCGGCGCGGTCGTCGACGGGGAGGGAGCCCGCGTCCAGCGCGTCGCTCACCGCCACCAGCTCCGCCTCCATCACCAGCGTGGCGCCGCCCGGTACCGCCGGCACCCCGAGGCTGTGCGCACAGGTGCCCACAGTGGCATTGTTCGTCGTCGTCGTCAACACCGCGTGGAAATACTCGGCACAGTAGAACCCCTCTTAACGACCACCCGTTAACGACTAATCGCTTAACGACGGGCCTCCATAGAGCCCAATGTGTTGTGTATAGTGCAGTGTATAATAGTGCAGTGTATAGTAGTGCAGTGTATAGTAGTGTATAGTATAGTAGTGTATAGTAGTGCAGTGAATAGTAGTGGTGTATAGTAGTGTAGTGAATAGTAGTGCAGTGTATAGTAGTGCAGTGTATAGTAGTGTAGTGAATAGTAGTGGTGTATAGTGTATTGTAGTGTAGTGCATAGTAGTGCAGTGTATAGTGTAGTGTATAGTGTAGTGTATCGTAGTGTATAGTGTAGTGTATAGTGTAGTGTATCGTAGTGTAGTGTATAGTAGTGTATAGTCGTGTAGTGTATAGTAGTGTAGTGTATAGTAGTGTATAGTAGTGTATAGTATAGTAGTGCAGTGTATCGTAGTGTATAGTAGTGTATAGTATAGTAGTGCAGTGTATCGTAGTGCAGTGTATAGTAGTGCAGTGTATCGTAGTGCAGTGTATAGTAGTGCAGTGTATAGTAGTGCAGTGTATAGTATAGTAGTGCAGTGTATAGCAGAACCCCTCTTAACGACAACCCCTGTTTAACGACTAATGGCTTAAAGATGGGCCTCCATAAAGCCCAATGTGTTCACTTACCGACAATTCCTCCATTCAAGATGGCTTAAAGACGACCACGTGACCACCAATTTCGGCCAATCGGCGAGCTCCAAAGTGGTCTGACCAGGCCTCGGCCAATGAGCGACGTCCATTCATGAGCGTTG